TTCTGGTATGTATCTTGTTCCTACTTAAGCTGCATATAAGAATTCGTTTTGAAGTTACTGTTATCATGCATCTTTGATCTGCTACTTCAACCTTATTTATCTTTTTGCAGGACTGTGGTGGATTATTTTGTTGAGAGCTTACTGCAAGATTACAGGAGACAATGCTTTGCTAGAAAGAGTTGATGTGCAGACAGGAATTCAATTGATACTGAGTTTGTGTTTGGCTGATGGGTTTGACATGTTCCCAACATTACTAGTTACAGATGGATCATGCATGATAGACAGGAGGATGGGAATACATGGGCATCCTCTTGAAATCCAAGTAAGTTGAGTTTAATTGCTTATGGCTTAATTCACTAGATCCTGGAATAACGATCTATAATGTTATTCAACAATAGGAAAAATATGCTGCCATGTAGGGACCATTTTTTTCTTGTGCAGGACTAATTTAATTTGTAACAAAAAGAAAATAGTTATGCTATTCTTCCTTTATAAACCTAGATCTATTTGGCATATGAAGATCTGTACTTACAAGTTCTTTCTGTTACGCAGGCTTTGTTCTACTCTGCTTTACGATGCTCACGAGAAATGCTTGTTGTGAACAATGGATCGAAAAACCTCATCCGTGCCATTAACAACAGGCTCAGTGCATTGTCCTTTCACATCAGAGAATATTACTGGGTTGACATGAAGAAGATAAATGAGATATACAGATACAAGACAGAAGAATACTCCCATGATGCCACTAACAAATTCAACATTTACCCTGAGCAAATCCCTTCCTGGCTTGTTGACTGGATTCCTGAGAAAGGAGGTTACCTTATAGGGAATCTGCAGCCAGCTCACATGGATTTTAGGTTCTTCTCTCTTGGCAACCTTTGGGCCATAGCTTCGTCTCTAACTACTCCAAAACAAGCTGAGGGAATTCTTAGCCTTATTGAAGAAAAATGGGATGATCTTGTAGCAAACATGCCCCTCAAGATATGCTACCCTGCAATGGAAGATGATGAATGGCGCATTATTACTGGCAGTGATCCTAAGAATACGTAAGCATCCTTGCTTGTAGAATCAATCTTTCGTTCTGTCCTTCCATGTCTTTCGGTTTGTCATATCTCCCTTTTGTGGTTCTCTATCTATTTCTTTTTTTTTAAGATTAAACTTCTCTTTTGTAAACATCACATCAATTGTTGACATGTGTCCACTTTGTGCATGTGCAGCCCATGGTCATATCATAATGGTGGATCTTGGCCAACCCTATTGTGGCAGGTAAATATTAACACCAATGCTTTCAAATTTCTCGTTCATTTTCGTCCTTCTAGATCATTGCTGACTTATCCTTGTTGCTGTTCACATAGTTCACATTGGCGTGCATAAAAATGGGTAGACCAGAATTGGCCCGGAGAGCCATTGCAGTGGCCGAGGAGAGACTCTCAGATGACAAGTGGCCGGAATACTACGACACCCGATCTGGGAGGTTCATTGGGAAGCAATCCCGATCTTATCAGACATGGACTATTGCTGGTTTTCTGACCTCAAAAATGTTGCTGGAGAACCCAGAGCTGGCTTCTATTCTGACCTGTGATGAGGACCTTGAGCTGCTCGAAGGCTGTGCTTGCTGCCTGTCCACGAAGAGGACCAGGTGCTCACGCCGGGCAGCCAAGTCACATACTGGGTGAAGCTGTGAAGCTCATGTTGTTCTTTCTACTGGGGGCGCACAATGTATGCTACCGACTGAGAATTAACCAAGATACTCTTCAGCTGTAAATTAGTATAGGTTTATGTTAGAAACCCATCCATTCATTTCCTCAGTGGCTGCTCATTCTTTTTTGCTGAGCTACCACTGATGGGAACTACCCTGGGTGATACCGGTGGTTGAAAGAAGAGAGCAAAACATATTCGAAGTTTGTGCTCTCATGTACACAGAAAATGAAATCTGTTATTATTTGAGCCGCCTGCTGCTCGTTTGGGAGCGCTGTTGAAGCCCCTAACAATTGTATGTCTTGTTGGTACTTGAAAGTACTATGTGGTGTCATTTGCAAACCAAACTGTGACACTGTATCATGTTCATCTCATATTATTGTTACACCTTTGTTGTATTGGATTATGCTTGGATTTGCCATATGCGCTATGTGTGTATGGTCAGCACATTGTGTTGTTTTTGGCCGATGAATCTGAATGCTGCAGCAGCTGACGAATCTGACACTGCTGTTGCTAAACTATTTGAACCAGACCATCTTGATAGTTCTTGTCAAACCCAACTGTTGAAAATAAAACCCAGCGGGAGATGTCTTTAACCCAAGCTTGCTGAACCATCCATTCATCCCTACTAAACTTGACGTAGTCATTGTTTTCAGTAACCAGAACCTGAAACTGAGTTGTGTTCTTTCACACCAAAAGCCGCATAGGGTGCAAAGTATTCCCAAGGGAGACAGGGCCATGCTATGCTACCTTAGCCACCAAATAGCCAAAGACAACTTGATGGAATGAACAGAAATGTATTGGTAATCTTTCTGCAGATACTAAAATATCACCAAAAGCTCCAAACTGGGTTTATGATATTCAGCCTGCCACGTCATAAAAATCCTTAACCAAAAGCTCTAAATAGGGCTACTAACTTAAAACTATGGTAAGCACTTCTTTCGACTCATTTAACTTAAACTAGTTGGGAGTTAGCACAAGTTATCTTTCACTCCTGCAGAGTTAATGGAAGCTGAACATTCAGCCTTTTGTTCTTTACCACACACATGGACATAACACGTACGAGGAACCAGTGGAACAAAAACTCCAAGTTGACAAGTAAAATTCAATTCTACAAGTAGCATAAGTCCAATGCCTTTCCCTTCCACTGATGTTCTAGAGTGCAAACCACCTACTATATGAAAAAAACATAGAAACCAATTCAAAAAACGTACTTTAGTTGTTCAAAAAAAAAATCTGAAATTTAGCACATCCATACTGCATACAAATCTACTCATATGCAAGAGTTGATACATGCTTAATATGGCATTGTTATATTATTGCCAACATTATCATTTGCATTAATGTTTGATAGTTGTTCTTCCTATACAATGCACAGGCATGTTTTATTAGTTTTTGTTAGAACCTGGAACAATCGATGGTCCAATTAATCAAACCATAAACTAAAATCTTATGCAATTTATTGTATAATCCAAATAAATGTATCTCCAAGCTGCACATATGTACTAGTGCAATCCCTGCTACCACGTGAAAAATCAAGAGGTCTTGCTCATAATCATTGGCAAACATACTAATCCTTGAAACACTTTAATCAGATATTTAGAATTTCAAATTTTATGGGTCCTTAAAGTTAGTCATGAAACTCTATTTAACTATACCAACACATGTATATATGAATATTAAAGTTATGATATATTTATGAGTAAATATTTTTAAAAAGTTTATCAAAATTATATTTTAATTCGATATAAGCTTAATAAATATTGTCATAGACTTATATTATAGATGTCATGGTCATTATGAAATAAATTATAGCTTTTTAAATTTTATGAAATAGATAAAACATAAATAGATATTTACCATTTCTATCTCGTTCTCTATATTTTTTTTTCTTCCTTTGCACCGCATGAGCATGTTCGCTAGTGCTCGATAAAGAGAAACAGAGGGAATAACATTTATCAACAAATGGCTCCAATCAGAAAATGCATGTGAATACCATGCTAATGTCAGGTGTTAGAAACATGTGTTATATTCTCCACTAAATCTAGCATTGCCATTTGAAGTCAAGAGTGTTCGCCTCTACAAAACTCAACAGGAATTCAGAAATATGTAAGTGTATCTCCATTGAGTAGGATTTACATCTCAGTAGGAAGATCAAGACTGTCTACCAAGCTCGACATGAACTCATCGATATATAACCTCATTTCCAATGAGTAGGATATACATCTTGGTAGCAACATCAAGAGAGTTAACCTCAACAGGAACACATAGATTTGTAACCATATTTCCATTAAGAGTAGGATCAATATCTACAAACTTCACAAGCTATCAGCGAAACTTTAGAGTCCTTGACATGAGAAGTCTTCTCCGCAGTTACCTGTAGATTTAAAGTTCAAGGTTTATGGGCATGGATAACAAAATAGCATTAGCCTCTCAACAATTCTTCAAAAGATGAATGCCATCCATGCGTACATAAACAAATTTATTGGAAATAAGAACCTGATTGACCAATGCCATGTGGCCAGTTAGCATTATATTAACTTTTGGATAACAGACATGATAATTCCATTATTGCACTGGAACTCTGAAGGTACAAAACTTGTGACAGCTCAAATTAATCATAGTAGTTAAGTTCCCCAGGTAGAACAGAAAAAAAGTAAAACCTGTCCAGGTCAATGCATACTCTCAGTTCTTTTGATTCGAACTACCCTGTTTTTAACCCTCCAAGACAAAATAACTTGTTTACTTTTTGAAAGACTCACAAGTCATTAGCAGAAGGTTAATGTGGCACAACCACATTCCATCTGTCAGCTATTGCTATTAGCAGTGCAAATGTTGAACCATTAAATTGCAATTGTTGTGCTCAAGTGAGGGGTGTGTGTGAAAAATAACTTCTATATTCTTGTGTATAATTGGAAACAAAAATCCACTGTGAGAACTCATCCATGATAACTTATAGTTAGTCATAACTTCATTTCAGGTTTACATAAATCCTGCAGGCCTAAAGAAGTCTAATGTCTCATAAAAGCACAAGGAATTGTTTTCCCTGTAGGTGTTCACGAGTCACAGAACTTCAGTTTTCTGCAGAGCGATGAGCAAGAATCGAACTACAACATCATGGAATGAAAAAAGAAGTTCTATTCACACAGATACGGACGAATTCTTGAGATAGTCATTATATTGCATTCCCTTACTAGCATAATCTGGACTAAGACACGCAGCATACACAAAAAAATGCACAAAGTAAACGGAAGTAAAAAAAATGTTTCTGAACTGTTAAACTGACAAGGAAAGTTTGTTACCTAGTTTAGGTCAATTTTCAGTTCATACAGATCACTTGAAACTGTACTCTGATTGCACTCTGAAACTACTCCCTCAAGGTCAACATGCACATTTGAAACAAACATAAGAAGCGGCTTCTTTCTTGGAACAGGAAGTAACTCATTCTTGCCCTCCAGTATGCCTAGGACTGTCCTCATGACAGGTCTCTCTTCTGAGAATGGATTCACACAGCTCAAACCTAGAAGAAGTAGCCTCATCATTTGCTCATTGTCATACTGTCCACTAAGATATGGATCCGCAGCATCCAGAAGCTTGACTTCTGAGTGCAAATTCCAAACCCAATCAACAGTATTCAACATGTTCATACTGCTGGGAGCTTCTATCTCTATTGGCCGCTTGCCTGTGCAGATCTCAAGCAGCACAACCTCATAGCTGTAGACATCGCTCTTTTCTGTAGCTTTACCCATCTGGAGATACTCAGGTGCAAGGTAACCAAGAGTCCCTGCTGCCAGGGTCGACCGAGGACTTGTGTCATGATCCTTTAACCTCGCAAGCCCAAAATCTCCCAATCTTGGACTAAAACACGAGTCAAGAAGTATGTTACTGCACTTTATATCCCTGTGGATCACCTGCTTGTCATGTTCTTCATGTAGGTATGCCACCGCAGAAGCGATGCCAACAGCAACGTTGTACCGCTGAGACCAGTCGAGGGTGACATAACGCTCCGTGCCTGAACAAGGGTGGAGAGCCTCATCTAGGCTGACGTTGGACATAAACTCATAGACAAGCAGCAGCTCGTCCCTTTCTGTACACCACCCTTGGAGCTGAACCAGATTGGGGTGCTTCAGGTCAGCAATAATGGTAAGCTCGGCACTGAACTCATTGTACCTCTCTCTGGATTGCTTCGACCTCTGGACCGCATACGTGACCCCAGAGTGTGGGCACACTGCCTTGTACGCTGTACCGAAACCACCGCTGCCGACCACCATAGAGGGATCGAATCCATTTGTAGCCGAGAAGAGATCTTGGTACATGAACTGCCTCGGTTTACCTGTTATCTTTGCTCCGTTCCCCTTGTTAACCACTACAGTACTCCACCTCCACTTCTTCAGAGACATTACCACGAACACCGTGAGTGCACCAAGGAACACAATGGACAAGGGGACGGCAAGCCCCAATACTAGTTTCCTGCGGCGCCCACCCTTCAGGTTCAGGGTGGTTACCCCAGGCGTCGCGGGCGTGCTCGGGACGCTGTCGGACATGCTGTGCGCGGGCCGGGATGCCGTGTCGACAGGTGGCGTCCCGGCCGTGAGGAAGGTCCAGCTCTCGACGACGAAGCCGCGTCGCCGCTGCTCGCGTTGTCCGACGACACCTCGAGGCCAACGAACATGAACTCGGAGAAGCGGACGCCAAGGCCCGCGGCGTCTGAGGACAGAGCTGGCGTCCGGGGCTGCACGCTCGCGTGGCTGAGGAATACCTCGAGGCGCGCCCGGCGCGCGTCGTAGATGACCCAAGAACCGACCCCGTTGCCGTTCCGAAGATTCACAGCGCCGGTGGAGTTCCCGGCAAGTCTCTCACCGGCGGAGTACGCGGAGACGAGGCCCTTGGACGCGTCCAGGATGACCTCGAGCGGCAGGGACCGGTTTTTGGCCGTGGCGCCGACCGTGAGCGGGTCGGGGATGAGGAGGAAGGAGAGGCGCGAAGCGGGGTGCGTGGAGGCGGGCGCGGCGAAGAGGAAGGAGGTGGAGAAGGAGGCATTGGGTGGGAACGGGAGCGGGCGCGGGAAGAGCGCATGGGAGGAGGGCGGCGGGAGCGAGACGGAGTCGGCGCGGAGCGAGGCCCCGCCGAGGAGGGTGAGGTTGCGGAGGGAGAAAGATGGAAAGGAGAACGAGATGGGGGTTTCAGCCGCCTTGGAGGATGGCGCGAGGAAGAGGACGAGGAGGAGGGCAGCGGTGTCGGGTGCGAGGTGGTGGTGGCGGACTGGTGGGGTGAGGTTGTTGGAGCCATGGAATGGAAGTTCGGAAGAGAGCCAGAGCAGAGAGGGTGGCGATCGAGGGCCGGGTTTACATTTTGGAGCAGAGACTCTGTATACTTTTAGAACAAATATACGTTTGGTAAAAAATCCAACAGTACCCTCTATCTAGAATTTCTGGCTAGCCAAAAAAAAAAAAAAAAGAGTGAGGCAAACTTTTTAGAGTACGCATGAGATATAATAAAATTATTAGAAAGTACAAATATATAAAAAACGGTAATGCTTCAGAGCATTTGTCCGCCCGGACGGCTCCTCGACGAGTCCGCGCTACCGCTATCCAGGATGAAATGAAGCAAGACTAAGCTAGCGTGCAAACATTGTCATCAGTCATCACATGCATGACGTGCGTTGCATAGTTCAAATGGGCAAGCCGTGTAGTTGGAGCTTAGAAAGTACTCGTTGCCGTGTTGACAGCGTGTAAAGACGCTCTCGCACACCATGGCCCAACAGGCCTCCCGCTCTCTACGTCTCCTCATCTCTCTTAAAAATATATCCACACTTCGCCGTGCGGCCATCCGCTCGTCCCAATGCACAGTCATAGAATGATAGCTAAGATCCTAGGAAGAGGGTACGTGCGAATACAAGAGACGCATTCTCCTAAGTTTCGCTATCCTCCCCCCGATTTTCAGTGACATCCAACCCCAGCAACGGCAAGGGGTCGGACCTCACTCGGGGGCTGATAAAGGTATAAGTATACCTTTTCTAAAATAGTCGCTGCACCAAACCTCTTCTTCACGCTAAGCCTAGTGGCAAGGTTTGTGGAAACGAATAATTGATCATGTCTAGCTAGACTACAAAACACCTATGCCTCGGCGGCTACAGTGTCTCTGCTCACCAGCATGGTCGATGTTCTCCCCTTACACCTCGGGCCCTATGGTCTTAACGAATGGAAGGGTTGGAATATGTGAGCCTTTTCTTTTCGCATACAAAAAGGGAAGGAAACAAATTCAATCTAACAAAACAAAATAACGATGTTACGAATTTGTTCTTATATTACATAAGGATCAGCAATTATCCATAGAGTACAATGATGTTCATCCGAATTCACCCAACCTAATTGACTAACTAGCCTCTTGGGGGGAGAACTATGTCTTCAACTCTGTCCGCCAGGTCCCGCGTGAGAGGAGCCACCACCGTCTCTATCTCATCCAGCTCGGAGGCTTCGTAGCCAGGCACAAAGCCAAGGCTCATTATCTCCAAGTCGATACTTTCCATGTAGTGAGAGTGGGCGATGGCGAAGGCTTGGGTGATCCCAGAGCGAAGAGCTTCTCTCTCAAGCTAGCGCACCCGTACCGTGATATCTATGACATGGGCTGCAAGTGAGCTGGTCCCCTCCGGCCGTGCCACCTCTAGGTCATCGCAGACCACGTCGAGGGCAGCGCGCAAGAGATCGTGCTCATCGCTTTCTGCCTAAAGGCCCCTCCATGCCTCGACAAGCTCCATGACCAGTCTGGTGGAGACGCTCTTAGCCTCTAGCCTTCGGGTCGTCGCGGTCCCAAGCTTGGCCTAGAGGGAGCCGATCCTCTGCTGCGCCTCATCGTGCTCTCGGATGGCCTAGTTGCGCTACCCCTAGGCCGTGCCGTGCTTTGAGCGGAGCCACTCCGTGGTCTGGCATAGCTCGTCGCGCTCCTTGCACAGCCGAGCAACCACCTCGGCATCTAGGTTCACCTTTTGCTACAGGGCCACAGACCTCTCCTCGGCTCCTAGCTTGAGCTCCTGCTCCTTTTCCACCTCGACCAGGAGGTCGAGGATCCACTGGCGGGCCTCGACGTCCTTCTAGAGTGCCTCGTCCCACTCCTTCCAAACTCTGGCGGCCTCCTCCTCATCCTGCCATGCCCTCACCAATATATCCTAGAATGCCTTCTCAGCCTCCTCCACGTCCCGACGGGCGTCGGCCTCCCGCTGCTAGAGACTGGCCACCTCCTTGGCAAGAGGAGTCAACTCGACCACCCTCTGTCAGAGCTAGGTGATCATGTCCCCATGCAACCATGCCTTGTCAATGAGGCGGTCCCAATTCTCCTTATGCTCATGAAGGTACCAAGATTTCTCCCGGTTGCGAGCAATAAGAGATTGAAAAAAGATAGTGGTCAGAACACAAAAATACATGAAGAAAGAAGAGGGCAAGAGGCTAGATTAGGTGAATACCTGGCCGGTGGGAATGATGAACTCGCACAAGGCGCCCCTAGCATGATTTAGAGCTTCTAGCATGGCCTCAATCCCCTTGTCGAGACTCTCCGTTCCATGCTCTCAGCATCATCATCGAGGGTAAAGAGTGTCGACGATGAGTCTTGTGGATTCACCCACCGTAGCAGGGACTCATCTCACGCAGGCGAGCGGCTGCCCCCTGATGTCAGGGCTAGGAGCGACTCCCCACTGGCCCTCTCTACCACCGCCGCAACGTCCGAGGGTCCCTCGGCCGTGTCCCCCTCCTTCGCCCACGTCGGGCGCCATCACTTGGGTCGATAGTGGCGTGGATTGCACCACTGCCTCGGGCGTCGCCACGGTGGCGTTCGGCTGTAGCCCACCCATCGTAGCCACTACCACCTCCGCCTGCGTCGATGGGGCCTCGACGGGTGGCGTCACATCCGCTATGGCCAATGCCACTTGCGCGACCGGTAGCTCCATCCGCCGCGTCGCCAGCAGCGGGATCACCTCCATCGCCGGCTGCGTAACAATCTCCGAGGGCATCCGATGAGTCCCCTTGTCCACCTATCCCACTGAGGGCACGAGAACCACTGTGGGCAGCGCCTGACTAGCCGACGAGGCAGCAATGCCGGCGGTGCCACTCCCACCCAAGACTAGTGCGATGACAGCCGATGGTTCTCGCCTCACCCGAAGGGCGACGCTCTTCTGTGCCGCCACCGACAAAGGATTGCGCCACCTCAAGACGCTGCAAGAAAAGAAAAGGCATAAGTCATGCTAAGAACAGAGAAAACAGAGGAGTTGAGGACTTACATTGGCGCTGTTGGGCGTTGGATACGTTTGGGGGATGAACCCCCAAGTCCCTGCTCCGCCTCCTCGAGACAGGGTCGCTTTGTGCCCGCCCCTTGCTCTTGGGCCGAGGGGCTCGCCTCCCTTGTACTCGAGGGTGTGGAGGCGGAGCCATCCCCCTCCCTCGGCACCTCGGGCGCGGCGGTAGATCCACCCACCCCCGCTGGCTCTTGGGGCATGGCGGCGGATCCGACCGCCCCCGCTGGATCTTGAGGCACGGTGGCGGGGCCGCTCCCCTCCACTGGCACCTCGGGCGCGGTTGCAGATCCGCCCGCCCCTACTTGTTCTAAGGAGTTCGGCCCATCTTCACTGGCCTCACAGACTCACTTCCCCCCGCATGAAATGGGAAGGGTCCCTACAAGGACAAGTGGATACCTGTCAGCGTATCCTCGCTCTCTAGGTCATCCCACTCGGTGTAAGAAACTACCTCATCATCTTCTTCCTCGTCGTCATCATTGTCACTGTCGGTTTCCTCCCCACGCTCCCACGCACGCAGCTTCTGCTGCTTCTTCCTCCTCTCGTCCTCCTTCGCCTTCCACTACCGCTTGGCCGCGGTGCGATTGGCCGCCATCACGGACGGGTCCTTCGGCAGCGGAACCGGTTGGTCCATAAGGATGAGTCTCTTCGACTGATCCCCCTATCTCAATATCAGCATCAAGAGGTCAGGAGTTCAATTAAAAAGGAGGCATGAGGAAAGAAAACTTACGAAGATGATGTATCCCGGTTCCGGCCGCATTGGAGGGTGCCCCAGCACCAGATACACAAAATCAAGGACAGCGCCGGTGTCGTCCCACGGAGGCTCCATCGCCTCCTTGATGCGCTACACCACTTTGGAGGGGGAGAGCGCTCCCTCGACGAGCGCCGTCCTGTCGAGTGACACCTCGGGCGCCATTGTGTGCAGGCGAAGCGCACGCCTCATAAGTGGTGCCACCCTCCGCTTGTGGTAGGTGCCGATGATCCCCGACCCCTTCACGCCCCTCTCCTTCAGAATTTGGATGGCGGTGAGATGGTCCTGGATTCTCTTCTTGTCTTTCTCCAGCACTCCCCACTTCCTCCACAATTCTAGGACCTCTTCAATGAGGCGCCTGGTGAACTCTGGTAAGGGGGCGGCTACGTCGTTCTTGACCTAGAACCAATGCGAATGCCACCCCTTGTTGGAGGTCGATAGACGCATCGGTGGGTACTCGTTGACTTGGTTGTTGCAGAGCTGAATGCTAGCACATCCCATTGGCACGTTCA